TCTCTCAGCAGTGTCCCACGGGGGCGGTGGGCACCACCAGGCTCCCCCCTTCTCCAGGGGTGTCTCTGCTTGGCCCTGGACTGGCCATGGCTGCTGCGTGTCTGGCAGGCCGGGGACACTCCCAGGAAACGTCTCTGCTCAGGGACGTGACTTCCCCTCCCAGTAAACAAACTCCTTCCACCAACGCGGTTCCACATCATCCTTGCTGGTGGCCCGAGACCTTCCCCACAACCCATCCCCATGCCCCTCCTTGGGCTTGGCCACAGCTCTGGCCTGGCCCGTGCCCAGCCCTGCGCCTTGCCCCGGGACCCACATGGCCCAGGTTTGGTTACACATCTGAACCCCCCCTCGGGCCCTCCTGAAAACCCTAATGGGACTGGAGACAGCCCTTATCCCAGCTCCTGCAGCTCGCGGCCTCCTGGGGCCAGGCAGCTCAACCTGGCTACCCAGGAGAGTTTGAGCTGTTTTCAACACAGGCAGAGCAGGACCTCTGGGTTTTGCTTTTAAAAACAGAGCAGCAGTAGGCGGAAAAAAACAACCAAACGACAGCAGAGCGGAAGAACAAGGTTCTGCAAGGTGCAACTTGCCGTTCTGCTAACACCAGATCCGCCTCCCGAGCTGCACAGCAAGCCTGGAGAACAGGAGGGCTCATGGAAGGGAAACAACCATGGTCCTCGTCTGACTACTGACGTCCTGCGAGCACGGGAAGGCAGCCAGGCTTGTGCCCCTGGGACCTGCAGAGCACATCCAGGCTGCTCTGCAAAAACACGGCTTTGGTGACAAGGGTGTTTTGGAAAGTGCATGGGATTCTTGTTGAAAGCTGAAATCCAGGCCAAAAAAAAAAAAAAGGCAGAACACAAAACAAGGAAACAAATACTCACAACACTTTTTTTTATCCAAGAAGCAATCCCAAGAAACTGTCCCAATCATAGTGAGACACACAAACACGAGCATATATCACTGACTGACCTGTCCAAACAGCACCTTGGGAGAGCTCAGCTGTTACATCAGTCAGGAGCAGATTGCTTGGGTGATCTGAGATCTCCACAGCTGCAATGGACCAGGCAATGACAAGGAGCAGAAAAGGTATTCACTGCTCCCTCACCCAAAAGGACTCCTGTGCACAAGTCTTGATTTGTTTCCTCCATCTCCAATAACCCTAAATTTCCACTAGGGAGGAGGAAATTAGACCTTCAAAGATGATAATCTATTTAAAGATAGCACTTCTTAGGAGACTCAGCAGTTTTCCAAGCCCATGCTCTCCCTTGTGTCCAGCGGAGAATATTCCCCTCTCTTGAGGATTCAAAGCCATGAGAGCAGAGGCTCAGAGCTAACACCCTAGAAGAAGCTCCTGCTCTCTCATTTCTTGCTTATGGCAGAGCTGTTTTGACTTCAAGTGGTAGGAGGTCACCTACAACTTTGCTCCTAGAGCAGCTGATCTCAAGGGTGCTGGAACACACCTGAAAACTGGAATCAGTTGGGCCAGAAACTTGGCCAGGCAAGACTCCACACATGTTGCTCCCTTACATCTGAGGGCATTGGGGCATGCTGTTTGTCAGGAGATGGGCAAAAGCCCCTCTCTACTTCCCTCAGTTCCTCTGGTTGGGGACAATGTTCTCAAAACCCCACCGCACACCTAATCAACAGAGCAGCTGAGAAGAAATGGATCCGAGGAAGCCGCACAAAAGCCCATTACGCTCCCCTGGCCCAGGACGCACAGAAGCCCTTGGAAGCCTCATGAATGCCCAAAGGGCTCCCCCAGCCCATTGCATATGGAGGCCCCATGAAACCCCATAGGGCCCCTCCAGCTGAGTGCACACGCAGGCCCCAGGAGGACGCACCAAAGACCGCAGGGACCCCTCAGTCCAGTGCACACGGAGACCCTGGGAGGCCGCACGAAAAGCCACAGGCCTCCCCCAGCCCCATGCACACATAGACTCCGAGAGGCCACATGAAATCCAACAGAGCTACCCCAGCCTCCTGTGCACGAAGGCCCCAGGAGGGCACATGAAAGTCTGTAGGGACCCCCGCTTGGACCCATGCATGGAGACCCTGTGAGGCACCACAAAAACCCATAGGGCCCCCTTGGACCAGTGTGCACAGAGGGCTTGGAGGCCATATGAAAGCCTGTAGGGCTCCCCTGGCCCAGTGAACACAGAGGCCCCAGGAGGCTCCACGAAAGCCCATAGAGACACCCCAGCCCAGTGCACATGGAGGTCCCCAGAGGAAGCACAAAATCCCATAGGGCCCCCCCAAGCCCTGTGCACACAAAGGCCAGACCCACTTCGCAGAGCCATGCTCCGTCTACCTTATTTACCTGGAAACACTGGGAAGCTCTGGGAACCAGGTGATGCTCTTCCCAGATAAGTCATTTGTGTTCCAGACACCAAAGACAGCTTGAAAGCAGCTCACAAAGGCCCTGAGCCGCTAGTCAGTACCACACCAGTTCCCTGGTGGTAAGCCAAGAATGTACAAAAGCATGGGCTCCATGTTGCCCAGGTCCCAAAGGCCATCTCTGATCAAAAAAGAGTGAAAAGGCAGTTTTACAAAGTACCAGTTTATTTGAGCAACAAAAAATAAATTGGTAACAGTGGAAAATCCCCAAGAGCAATTACACAAGAGAATCTAAACATCCCAAGACGAGACACTGCTCCTGCCTTCCTGCTAGCACTGACCATGGGCATAAAAGTTCTCCCAGTCTACAGTGACCTCTAAACAGCTTTTTTTTTTTTTGGCCTGTGTCCCATTGCCGGTCCTTTCCAGAACAAGCTTGTTCTGCAAGCAAGTCAGGGAGTTGGGCTGGAGAAAGAGCCTTGAGCCACATCCTCTTGAACTGACGACCCAGTAGATCACTCCCTGGCATCCCCACTTCACTAGCCTGGAACTGACAGCACAGGGATTTTTTTTGTTCTGGTGCCTCTAGACATTTGGTCCCCCAGCCTACAGCACAGGCTCTGTAAGAAGGCTTAAGGGGTTAGTCAGATTATTGTTATTTATTTATTTAAATAATCTTCACAATCCTCTGGTTTGGTACTGCCTACAAGATCACTCCAGCTGAAGACTTCACACCCAGATCTCATCCTACTGGAGCAGCAACTACAGAAGGATAAGACTTGCACAAAGTCTTTCCTGAAACAGAGACCTAGGACACGCACATTACCCTGCCCTCTAGGAGCGTTTTGGGGAATTGGTCTAACGCGGAGGTAGGAGCTGTTTACACGAGATGCTGAAGGACCTGCAGGAGCTTCAAGGCAGCACTGTGCAAAAGCTCAGAGCTCCTGCAGGGCAGACACCACCCAGGCAGACTTCCAGCTGCAGGAATCAGCCTTCTGCAAGGGGCAGGAATTAGCCCAGTGCCATGGGGGACTGCGCACAGTGACACAGGGCACTTGGCCGTTCCACAAGCTGGAGAGCTCCTTCCCCAGCACTGCCAGCGCTTGCAAACACAAACCCAGAAGGAAGAGGGGGATCTGACACGTTATCTACCGCAGCACTGAATGGCCTCAGGCCCTTGTGGGCACAGTGGCCACGAGCCAGGCGCTGGCTGCCTTCCCTGGCACAAAACCCCTCGCCCTGCAACAAGACACCAAACAGACACCAGGACAAGCGGGACCAAACCTCTCACACACAGTAAGGCTGCTGAAGAATCAACTCCAGCCTTTTCACTCCCAACGGTATTCAGTAAAATATATAGCTCTATACAACTGATTATAATATATTACAGACTAAAAATATTCTTGTCTTTTCCCTACTTCAATCATACTATGAATCCAATTTTGCATACAGATTAATCCTAGCAGTTATTGCCTTTATAATTAAAATTCACAGAATAAAGCTTAAATAGTTTCCACAGAGACTCATTATATTAGTGTTTTACATAAAAAGGATAAAAGTTACCAAATGAGAAGAGCAGCCATTTGAGAAACTATAAATAATTCTATTAAAAAAAAAAAAATCAAATGCAAAAATAATTATGGGAAGACCACAAATATCTTTATCCTCTACAGTAGCTGCTATAGAACTAAAGAAACCTGTAACACACTGTAGCAAGCGCTGCTTCAGTTCAGAATATGAATCATATAAAACACATATCTAGAGAAATGCCCAGCCAGAGGAAACACAAAGGGATTGAAAAAATAAATCTGAAGAAATTAAAAAAGTAGATTTTTTTATTTCAAAACAATTTCTACAAATTTTATATAAACATTAGGCTATTTTCTTCAAAATTGTTATAAAAATCCTACAAACAATCCTGAAAAGAGACTGAAGGCAAGGAAAGGGTGTTGTCATAGCCAAACAAAACGAACAGTCCTGATTTCATGGACTAGTGACCCTTGCCCGGGGCCAACAGGAAGAGATAGAAGTCTCCTGGGGAAAACATTCCCACAGGCCCTTTATGGCATTCGGGGATTTTGAGCCCTAAGGGCCCTATACTCCCTGATAAGGCAACGTTATCTGTAGTGTAAGAGATTCATAAATAGTTCTCCACCAACAACAAGAAAAAGCTTCACATCAACAGCCTGCTGCGAGACGTCTATTAGCAACGTTTATAAACCAAAAAGCCATCGTCTATAGAAGCAGCCAACCTGAGCGCTGGCTGCACACTGGCTGCAAACACATGGTGCCTGCTTCCATATAGTCTGTTTTATGTTTATATACCCTCTACCAAACCAAGCAGAAAATTTGGCATTTTTATTATTGTTATACTAGCTTTAGACAAAACAGTTTTTTCAGACTCTTTGTATTTCATTGGGCCCTTGATAGCTGAGCAGGATGGAAAGGGTCATGTAGAAAGGGTTTTTCCCCTCAAAGTTGCTTTGAAATTGAATCCAAAAAGAACATTTTTTTCAGCATGTCTCATCGGAGGGCATACTGTTTCCAAGCAGTCTGTTTGTCTCTTGATGGGCACAAGGTGCTGTTAAGCATAGAATTCATTCGTAGGGGCTTTCTTGTAGATTGGTTTCTTCCCAAGATCATAACTGCCTTCGTCCTTTTTCTTCATACGATAGACTAAGAGGAGGATCAGGAAGACTGCAAACAGGAGGCCCACTGCGCCTCCTGCAATGAGAGCTGGAAAAGAGAGCATGGATTCAGTATCAGCACCAGGAAAATGATCTGAAGCCTTCATCAACTAGCCATGCAAGCACACAGTAGGGACTGTGCTCCAATTAAACAGCAGTTTAATTCCCCAAAGCAGGAAAAGAAAAAAGACTCTCATACAGCAAGATGACCACATCATTTGGATCAGCTGTGACACCTACATGTTGCACTAAGTTGGTTTTTCTTTTTTCTAAGTGCTTGATGAAGTTTGCCTCAGGAAAGATTTGTCCTGAGTGCTCAGGAGTAGCCAGTTGCTTGGATTTGCTCTACACAGAGCTACTTAGATGCCTATCAGTTGAGTAGGTGCTCAAAGTCTTTTAGGGTTTTTTTTTTTCCCTGGCAAGCAAAGTGCTTGCTCAGAAAAGGCAAGACGTGGGCAGCAGGAAGAGGAAAATAGCTTGTATTTGATTTAAAAGTTCATGATGTCATTGACTTGTGGCTAGATAAGCCTCCAGTTGTGCTAAGCTCGGTGCAGAGCAGCACAGGAGCTGTCACCAAACTTGTGACACTCGCTTAAGCCAACTGCCAGATGGCCAACTCAAAAACAAGCTGACCCCTCACCCCACCAATTCCAGCAGTGTGCTTCTTGGTCACGTAAGCACTGGAAGGCAGAAGTGACCACAAAGGTAATGGCATCTCACACCCTTTCTCAGAAGGAAGCTGACCCCCCAAAGGGGTCCCCCCAAAAAAAGACTTTTTAAAATATATTTTATAGAATAACTATCACCAGAGTTCAAGGACAAGGTGGAGTATTACCTGCAAGCACTTCTGTTCTTTCAAAGATGCTGCCGTTGGCTGTGCTTGCCATGGAGATCTTGTTGGACAGGTTCTCTTCAACAGGTAAGGCTTCGTGTGGAATGATTTCATTGTCCACCATCGTGTTTTTGTTCTCACCTTCTATCTTTCGCTCAGTATCTCCAGGGATATAGTTGTCAGCTATCTAAAGAGTATAGACAAGCCACACCCGTCAGCAAGCAGCACCCAGCCTACCCACGACTGAAAGCAGGAGGGGTGAGGAGGAAAGAGTTTGTTTAGTGCATTGTGAGCACACAGCTCTTGCACACATGGGGCATGAGTGCTTCACCCTGAAGCCACATCTTGCAGGGGGAAGGCTATTCAGAAAGCTCCAAAACACAGGCCAGGGCTATGCACTGTTTGAGAAAGGCAAAAGGCAATACCTACCACAGGACTATCCACGGTGGTTGGGAACATGGCATCTTCAGAGTCTATGTAGTCTGCAGAAGGGACAAAAGGGGACATCATTTCCCTTTAATTACAAGGGATTCTTCCAGAACTGACATTTCCAGCAATACCAGCAGCTGCACTCAAACTAGGACTCTTGTTCCAGTTATCTACTGTTACTTTCACTATTTGATGACTTTGCACAAGACCACGAGATGCAATCTCAAGAAACACAACTCTCTCATGGGAGAGATCTTCAGTCATCTCCACTAGCTTCTGCTGCAGATTATCAGGAGTGGTTTTGCAGAGCAGGTCTGGTATAACATGCTAAGCTAATGCCAGCAGAGGGGAATGCTCTTGCCACCCATCCCTGAAGGTTGGTTTGCTAACCCTCTAGTTACCAGATCTGCCCGAACATGCCAGGTATAATTTCAGCACTTCTTTTCCTTTAGAGGACAAATCTTCACGTAAAGGGGACAAGGAGCTGCTGAAACTGGTTTGGGCAGGGAGCTTTACATGTCACAGAGTTCACTTGAGCACCAGAGTCCTTTGCCTTATTTGGCCTCAGTTACAACACTAACCTTAACTCTTTTAACATTGCCTCAGAAGGCGGTGGGGGGTGGAATTTCTAATCTTAACCATCTCAGCAGCTGTATGGAGTTCAACAGGGAAGAAGCCCCAGCCAATGCAATGCCTTTCACCTGCAGTAAGATGAGTTTAGCCGGACACCACCTGTCCTCACCGAGTGATTCACCATCACGGCACAACCACTTTCACCATTCTCCTCTGCAAGTGACTAGGATCTACATGGCTTTCTCATTTGCACCTGACACACTGTAGTTGCCACTAGAGCTCTGGTTGTGCCCTTAATTCATCATTTGTAACTGCTGATGCTGGGAAGGGGCACACAGTATGAAATGAGGCACGTTCCCCCCTTACCTCCAGAACCAGATGCCTCGTATTCATCTAACCCATCAGTAGTTAAGCGAGGTTTGAAGTCACCAATATCTTCATCATCTGGCAAGTCTCCAGAGGCTGGGTAGTCAAACCACCTGGCATCCATGGTCTCTGTTTCTCTCACCTGAAAACAGGCAGGAGGGGAGAGAAATATTAAGTAACCTCTCAAGACAGTTTCACAAAAGGTCAGGAGTTCAGACACTGCTGAGCACATCATTTCCATCACAAGAACATTAAATGCTGAACTTCCTTTCCACTTAGAGCATTATCTTCATTGGCCTGGAAATAGCCAAATTCCCCTAAAATTTCTCAGAACAGAACCGGAAGCCTGTCTGGAAGGGGAATTTCATGAGGGCAGCAGATTCAGGTGGTTCATTTAAGCAGTCACGGGGTGAAACCATCACAACAGGATCTGGATCAGGAATTTTAGCAAAAGCCTTTGGAAGAGCAGTACCTACAGATTGTCATACAGACTTGTAAGGACTCGCCTATACCCAGAGAATGGGCCCCTCGCCTACAGCAGTGAAGATCAGATTATTTCAGTGCACTGAAACTTCAGGTCAGGGCAATTTGTTGCTTCCTCTACCAAGAACAAAGCTACTTTATCACCCAAGGGTTAAAAGCTGGCCTGTCAGTTCAACTGAATTGCAGTGCAATATAGTGTGACGTTCAAGAACGTTCACTATCAGTATTGACTTGCCTGAAGGAAGAACTTCCCCTGTTTCACCTCTTAAAACTCATGTAAACAAACAAGTCTGTAGCTTGAAAATGAAGTCCACGACACCAGGGTCAGGTGCACGTTAGCAAAACAGCAGTACAGGAGAGGCACTCTGCCAAGCTTCCAAATAAGCAAGGCAGGTTGAGCCAGCTGCTTTGCCATGATGGCAGTTTATTCACCAGAACTCATTTGCACTTGGGCCTTTCAGGTGCCACAGGATGAAACCTCTTTTCCCTTACCAAGATTAGTCAACATCCCAGGACTATTTCTCCAAACCTCTTAACCTTGGGGCAGCCCTCGTGAGGGTACCGCAGAGCTGAGCTCACAGGTTGCCCGAGAAACCCACACATTCCAGCAGCTTTGGCTGCTTCTAATTCCAGAGTCATGAAGTCATCCACTTGGTAGGGGACTTAACCCCTTCCCTAAGGTCGGGCAATGCAGACAGATGGGTCCTACTGCCAGGGGCTAGGCTTCCAAAATTCCTCTCTGCTATCCCTGGAACTGCTCCATCCATGGAAACACTGGAAATGCCTTTTTTTCCCCCCTCCTCTCCATTTCCTGCCCCTTTGATTGACGCCCTGCAGGTTTATCTACCTATCAGTTCTTAAAGGAGCACAACAGACCCCATATCTTTAATCCACACCCCATTTGTATAGGGGAACTCTGGTCTATGCAGGTTAACCTTTAATTGTCCCCTGGTTTCACCAGGCTGGGAGAGCACAAAGAGTTGTGGGGACAATTAAACCAGGGACAATTAAAACCAGCACTGACCACCTCAACCCTGATGCCTGCAGCTTTCTCAGGGGACAAGGCAGCTCCAACAGCTCAGAGCAGTTTTGCTGCTAGCCCGGTCAGATGTGCCGTGTTGCACAGGGCCTGGCTGTGAATTCTCTCAGCTATTGATCCTCCAAGTGGTAGTTAGCGATCAGCCACGAGCCCTGCGTCAGCTTCCTGCCCCTGCCAGTCCCAGCCCAGTTCCTAGCCTAGATTTCCCTACCTATTAACATACTGGTTTGGCCACAAACAAGTGCCTTGTGGCCGGAGCAAGATGCTTTTTAGAGCCCAGTTTCTGTGTACGGAGCAGTCGGTGGCTGCACGTGCTTTTCATTAGTTTATGGAGGCATCTTTGGTTTCCTCAGCAACTGGGCTGCAGGACAAGCAAATGAGTAGCCTGGAGGGCACCAAGTGCTGAGGCCAGCTCTCCTCCTAGACCCAGCGGCTCCACTCTGCCCAAGCCTGGCACTAGGGGACAGGAAGAGGGTTGGGGAGGAAGGACAGCTGGAAAGTGGAACGAGGCATTCCTAACATCATGGATCACTTGCTCCAAGACAAATTCATCGCAGGACATCTGAAGCCCAGCCAAAACCAAGTGTGCAACAGAAACCACTACCAGAAGGCGGCTGCTGCTCCCATTGCTGCTTGTGGCCGTTTCATTGCAGAGCAGGAAGGGAGTGATTCCAGGCGCGCCACTTCCCTGAGCCGGGACGCTCCGGGAGCAGGGACCAGGGCAGGCTGAGCGGTGGCAGCATCGCCGGGCACGGCCGCCCCCGGGGCTGACTCACACTGCGCTTCGTTGTGAGTCACGGCCAGCTAATGTCCTCGAGGGAGGCTGGAGCAGAGCCTCGCCAGGGCACCGGGCGGCTGGACAGCAGCCGCCCTTATCAGGGCAGCGCAGGCCGGAGCGAGAACGTGGCAGACGGCCACGGCGGTTACTCCGCGCTGTGGAATGCACCAGGTTGGGCTATCAGAAAGGCCTATTTAAATCAGGACAGACAGTGTTTACAAGGCAGGGGACACAACACGGAAATTACTGACTCACCAGCACAAGTAAGATTGTATGGGAGCGTTCTCTGAACTCACTCTTCATCATTCTCTTGAGCAAGGACGGGGGAGTTCCTAGAAGCCACTGGAGCTTCTCCAACCATACACACCGCTTTCCTTGGGGCAGCAGCCTTAGCTTACCAGCTCATCCAGCAGCTTCTCCCTGAATCACAGCGAAGCCAGAGGGCTGTTGGCCATCTCCATCTGGATCCTCTGGCTTTCAAGACCCCATCTCATAGGGATTGGGCTTCTCCTGGGAGCTGAGGGCCAGGACAGTGGTGCAGCACCCTGCCCGGGAAGGGTTAACACGGGAGGGCCGGTGTCCCCAGGCTCTAGCACATTCCTTGCATACACACCTGCAAGGAGGCACGCGGGCGGCACGGAGACAGCGCCAGGCTCAAAGCAAAGCTCGGGGCTCACTGGGCACCGCAGAGAAGCTTCCCCCAGCACCACCCAACAGCCGTCTCCCTTTCCAAGCTGGAAGGCCCCCTCCTCCCTGCAGCCTGGACACGAGGCAAGAGCCAAGCGGCTGCAGCAGGACAACAGTCAGCTCTTGCCAAGCCATCCCCAGCCATATCCAGCTTAACACCTCCGGGCAGTGCCAGCTGGAGAAGGGCAGCAGCACTGCCCGGAGGCGGCTTTCTGCCACCTGCAAGCCCAGGACGGGAGCCAGGCCAGGACCTTGCTGCGAGAGCTGGAGCCAGCGGCTGCACAGCCCCACCTTGGCCCTGCAGCCCGAGTCGAGTCCTGCTATTAATGCACTCCTCCCTAGGAGGCCTTTACAGAAACCTGCTGCTTCTGCAAAGGTCTAGATCCAGGATTTCTTCCTTGTGTTAAGCAGCTTTTATCCCCAGTAAGCACCAGGACGGATTAGCCAGCGTGCTGGGGGACAGAGCAGGAGCTTTTCCTGCCTCCCAGGAGGGGAAAAAAAAAAAAAAAAAAAAAAAAAAAAAAACAAAAGGC